CCTCCTGACCCCTGTCCTCCTGACGCCCGTCCTCCCGGCCCCTGTCTTCCAGGCTTTATCCTCCAGGCTCCTCTGGGTCCGGCTCAAGTGCCTCCAGGCTCGCCACTGACGCTCACACTGGGGACTCAATCCTTGAAAGCTCTGGCAAGGTCAGTTTCCCTGTCACTGTAGTCACCATCACAACGTAAGTGCCTGAGTCTTCATTTTCTCTCCTATTCCCACCCACCCTCCTCTCCGCTTCCTCCCCACCCTCGCGACTTCACACTGTTCACTGCAGCCCCTCCAGATTCCTGCTGCAACCACCTGACCCATGCTAAAGAGACCACTCATTATCGCCCTCATCCCGGCCCCTCGCAGTCTCTTGGCCCTGGTGGAAGCCTACATTTTCCTGGGAAGGCTTCCCTGGAATCCTGGTCAGGCCCCCACGTGGGGACACCAAGTGCCCACAGAGCTGGGAAACCATTACATTAGATGGGATGCCTGCAGTCTAGTGGCATTGCTAGTTGAAAGTGGAGCTGTGCACAGCCTCCGCAACTGTACTTGGTGGCCACACCCCATCACGTGGGCTCAGGCTGGGGGGCTGGACGTGGACTTTGAGCCCCAAGTCTTCACCCTCATGCAAAACCATCCTCCTTGGAGGTGTGGCGGGGAGGGGAGCCATGTCCAGAGTCCTGCCTTGCTGTCATGTCCCGACCTTGGTGCAGCCTGTCCCTTTTGTTAGGGGTTTTGGCACCGAGTTCGAGTTCACTGTCTTGTCCTGCTAAGACTCGGTCACATCCCAGCCATCTTCAACAATGTGGTGGGCGCTTCATCTACATTCACAGTCTCTCAAATTTTATTTTTCCTCATCTCTAGGAGCTCCCATCCCCACTCTACTTCTGCCACCCTCCTGTGACCAACTCAGAACTCAAGCTCCACCTCTGAAAGAGGGTATGCAAATGTCCTTTCTGCCCAGGGTATCCTAAGCTCTGAACATTCTCTCCGTTACTGCCACCACACCTTTGCCTAAATCCTAAAGCCCTCCAACCTCCTAACCCCCCAGCTTCCCCTCTGGGAGCCCCTCCTGTCTTTCCTTCCTTCCTTCCTTCTTCTCCTGCCTGACTTCACCCACCGTCTTCCCCTCTGCTGTACTGCACCACCGTCTCCATGCCCACACCATCTGCCCAGTGAGGCCAACACATGCCATCAATTGTTGCCACTCTAAACGCATCATCTCAGCACCATCCGGGCACTCAGGGCTGGCTCCCTCCTTCTTTGTGACTGTCCTTCTGCATACTTTGGGGATGATACTGTCCATCAGTTCACACAGAAAGTCAATAAATGGGAGCCACCACAGAGATCACCCAGGTAGACTTCTGCTTTTGACTGTCGAGTCACTGGTACCAGGCTAGCTTCCCACCATAAGTAACTCTAAAACTACATGAAGTCACTCTCTACAGATATGGAGCAGCAGGCAGTGCCAGACAGCGATCTCTGAGAGGAGAGAAGCAATGTGGGGAGCCCCATGGTTTCCTGGAGACGCTCTCCAGACCACAGCACAGGGAGGGGAGACTGAAGAGCACTGCAGCCCCACCGGGCTGAGGAGACAGAGGCCGGAACGGGAAGCTTCTGAGGCAGGCAGGTTTTCAGGGTAAGAGAAGGGAGCTCCAGAAATATAAACGGGGATCTTTGAGCTTTTCATCAAATACTACCCTGTTCATGACACAAAGCCAGGCAAAACAGCTCCTGGGGACAGAACAATCACTGGGAAGGCTGAACTGAACAACTAGGCTGGAAAGCATTTGAGCTCTGAGCAGCCAGAGGTGCTGACCACTTCCATCATTCCATAAAGGCCATGCCGTAAAAGGAAGCCTGATCGTTCTAGGGGAAAGCTACTCGACACCTGTTCTAACAAAACTTTAACACAAGTCTTGCAAGAATCAAGTTAACCTGTAAGTAAATTAAGTGCTTGTATGAGTTTGCTCAGGTTGCTATAACAAAATACCACAAATTGTGTGGCTTAAACAACAGAAATGTACTTTCTCACAATTCCAGTGGCCACAAGTCCAAGATAGGGTGTCAGCAAGTCTGGTTTCCACTGAGGCTTCTCTCGGCTGCAGATGGCCAACTTTTCCCATATCTCACATGGCCTTGCCACTGTGCATGCACAACCCTGGTGCCTCTCTTCTTACAAGGACATCAGTCAGATTGAATCAGGGCCCACCATGACAGCCTCATTTTAACTTGATTACCCCCTTTAAGACTTTGTCTCCAAATGTAGTCATATTCTTAGGTAATGGAATTTAAGGCTTCATATATGAATTTGGGGGAAAAAAGTCAACCAATATCATTACCTAACAGAGCAAAGCTTTCAACACTATCAATGAAGACAGTAAAACCTAAACACACAACATAACATCCCTAATGTCTAACACAACATCAGAAGTTACTAGACGTGTGGAGAGAGCTAGGAAACATGGCCCATAATCATTAGAAAAATCAGGGAACGAAAACAGACTTAGAAATGGCGTAAAATGTTCAAAGATTGAAAGAAAAAACAATATAATAAAGGAACAAAAAGGAATTTAAATAGATACACGGAAACTAAAAATTGTACAAATTTTAGAAATAAAAAATACAACATCTGAAATGAAAAATATACTGTATAGATTTTTAAATTAAATACCATTAGGTACTGAAGAGGAGTGGTCAGTTTACTTGAATGAAGCCAGTGCAAGATAAACTATCCAAACTAAAGCATGCAGTGAAAATGGCTAAACAAATAAGCAGGATCCCAATGACCTGTGAGACAATGTCAAGCTGTCTAACATTCATGTAATTGATGTACCAGCAGGAGAGAAGAGAAAAAATCATTTAAAGAAATACTTGATCAAGAATGAGTATTGAGTAAATACTCATTAGATTGTTTGTGAAGTTGATGAGAAGTATAAACCTACAAATCTTAGAGGCTCAAAGAACTTCAAGGAAGATAGACACCAAAATAAAACCACATCAAGGCACAGCATGATCTGACTTTTGAAAATCCAATGACTTAAAAACTCTTAAAGCAGCTGGAGAAAAAGTCTGCTATGGTTTGAAAGTGCCCTCCAAACTCATGGTGAAGCTTAATCCCCACTGTGGCAGTATGGAGAGGTGAGGCCTTTAAGAGATGTAGGATCATGAGAACTCTGCGCTCATGAATTAATAGATTCATGGGATGATGGATTCATGGGTCATCATGGGAGGGGACCTGGCGGCTTTATAAGAGGAGAGACCTGAGCTAGAACATAAAGCTGACCTTGACCCCACCAACAAGAAGGCGCTCAAGAGATGCAGCCTCTCAACCTTGGACATCCCAGTCTCTAGCACTGTAAGAGATAAAGTTCATTTCTTACAAATTACCAGTTTCAACTTAGCAACAGAAAATGGGCAAAGACCAAGGCATATGGCACGGAGTGGAACGTAATAACAATAATGATTGACTTTCTCCGATAATGCAAACCAGAAGACAGTGGGATTACATGTGTAAGTGGCTAGGGGAAAGTCAGAATTCTACACTCAGAAAATGTCCTTCCAAACAATTTTCATGTGAACAAAAGTTTAGAGAAGCTCTCACCTGCAAATCTGCTCTTCAAGGAACTTTAAAGAAAATGTTTAAATGCTTAGGCTGAAATCATGAGCACCCCTTAACACAGGACACGAATTCTCCAGGTTGCTCCAGCCAGTTCCACCTGGCCGAATCTGTTCAATTGTGGCCTCTGCTTGGACTCTGTCAGCATTCGAGTTTACAACTCTGTCCAGTCTGCAGGATTTCTCACTCGGTTCACTACAACTATCTCCTAACTAGACTCTAAAATAAAAATGGTTTTGTCCCTACCCAGAAAAAAACAAAAAAACAAAAAAAACTCTTGCTTACTTTTTGTAAAATAAAAACCTATGTCCCTTCTCTGTCACTCCCTGGCTCCTCACAGCCTGGAGGGTAAAGACCAAACTCTTGAGTGTGAAAAG